AGTTCCATTCCTGGTCACACACCCAATGTCAGTAAGGAAGCAAAAAGGGAACTGCTTATTCACTTTCTTTTTGCAATATGTACCTTCCGGAAGAATTCAGAAAAGGCTATCYTAGCATGAAAACTAAAAATCTAGTTCCAATCTAAAAGCCCCTCCCCCCAAAATATAGTGTCAAATCAGAAAATAACTTGTGGTATTGATGAGAAACCTCATCAAAAACAATGCTTGCTCAAGAGACTTTACACAGTCTCTAAAGTGGATCTGAATTTTTCACAAAACTAATACTTCCATTTATTTGCTAGTCATGAAAGATAATCTACATATTTTCTTAATCTCCCATGTGGTCCTGCAGGCCTGTAATGGGAGGCTGAGGCAGGAGAATCCCAAATTCCAGGCCAGACTGGGCAACTTAGTCTCTATCTCAGAGTAAAACGGCTGGGGAGGTCGCTCAGTGGTGGAGAGCTGGCCTAACAAGGACCTGGGTCCAATTCCCTAAAAGTGGGGGTGGGGAGCCAATCTCATAAGCAATTGTTGACCATCTAGTATTATCTGAGATTCCTGCTGTCAGACAGCAACGTAAAACGCAGAGAACCCCAATGTCCCCCAAACTGACACTACACTACCTGCCCCCGAGACCGGTACCAAACTCTTGGGCTTCTAAATGCCCGACTCCCCTTCCCAAAATAAAAATCCTCGCATCGCTGCTTTTCTGCGGGGAGGGAATGTCAAAGCCATAACCGGAGACCGTCCCCGCAGATGAAGAAGCGCGTGAAGCTGATGCCACTTCTGAACCTTAACCTGCCGTTCAAAGGACCCGGAAAATGCCTAAAAGCCTCGACGGGTCAAGCCCCGGTGTCAGTTCACGGCGGAAGCCAGGAGGCCGCGGGGAGCGAAGCGGGTCCGCCGGGCGGCTCGGCCACGCCGGGGGCCGGCCGACCCGCCGCCGTCCCCGCCGGTCCTCCGCGCCGCGGGCCGGGCCTTTGTCTTCCGGCGGCCCGCGGGCGGCGCGCATCGCCATCTTGTCTCGGGGCCGCTCTCGGCGCCCATTCATTCGCGGGCGCCGGGGCCCGGGCAGCGGATGGGACCGGGGCCCCGCGGCGGGCAGGGCCGGAGCCGGCGGGGAGGGCGCGGCCGGGGTCCCGCCGCCGCGCCCGCCCCGCGGAGCTCCGCAGCCGCCGTCCGCCCCGCAGGAAGGCGCGTCCCGGCGGCCTTTGTTCCGCCGCGCGCCCAGCGCCCCGCGCAGGCCCGCCCGCCCGCCGCCCCGGCCTCCTCGCGGGGCCGCCGGCCGCCCGCCGCGCAGGGTGCGCCCGCCCGCCCGCCGGGGGTCGCCGGCCGCGCCAGCCCCACCCGGACAGGCCAGGGAGCCGTGGCGGCGGGCGAGCCCGGCGGGCGGGCACCGCGGGCGGGTCCGGAGCTGCGGGCAGGGCAGGGCCGGGCCCGCGGCCGCGCTCACCTCGCCCTCGCCCGGCCTGACGCGCCCACGCCGCCGCCTGGTCGTCGCGCTCGCGGCCCGCGGGCAGAGCCGGCGAGGCTGGTCGGGTCCGCCGCGGTGCTCCCGTCCCGGCCCGCTGCCCTCGCCGCCCGCGCCCGCCGCCGCCGCCGTCCGCCCCTCAGACGCCTCCAGCCATCGGGATGGGCGCGGCGGCCCCTGCCCGCATCCTCGGGAAACCCCACGCCGCGTCACCGCGCACGGCGGGCATGCGCACGCCCGCGCTTCCTCCCGCCCGCACGTGCACGAGCGGCTTAAAGGGGCAGCGTCCTGCCCGCGACGGCCGTAGGCCCCGAACGGGAACCCCCCCGGGAAAACCACTCCCGCGACGCCGGCAGCCGCGGGCCYTAGGCCTGCTGGACCCTGGGAGGTAGCTCGGTTCTTGTGCGGAGCCGCCTGAGCCGGCGGACAGTGATCCTGTGGGGAGGCCGGCGGATGGGCACCAGGTCCCACCTCGGAGGCTGGGCGCGGGGACGCGGCCAGGAGGGTCGGAAGGCGCCTGGAGCCCAGGCCAAGGAAGGGGTGGACGGTGCGCGGGGGAGCTGGGAACGCGAAACCCAGGGGCGCAGGAAGGCGGTCAGGAAGGGCTGGTGTCCTCTGAAACCTCGGGGACCATGGGTTACCCTCGGGCCCATCCGCCTTTCCTGCCGCCTTCGACCCCCCTTCCCAACCCCTCACCTCCTCCACCTCATCCGATTCTTCACTCCCACCTTACCGCTCCCCTCAGCCCGGGTGCTGTCCTTTCCAAACAAAGCCCAGTGCCCTTTTTCCTCTAGGCCCTATCCACTGGCCTTCCAGAATCCAGCRCCATAGCCCCCAGGTGGCCCATCACCCTGCAGTCTGCTTCCCACCGTCCTCCCTGCACCCTTAGGCACCTTTCTTTGCCTCCCCGCAGTTGGGCTGCCCTTCTTGTTTTGTCTAACTGGAAGAAATGAATGCAGCTTCCAGAGCGTCCACAACCTTCTCTCCATCCTACTCCCTGCTCCTCCTACAGAGGAGGCCTTCTCTTCCCCTCTCCTCTGGGTGCTTCCTGTCAATACCCAGACACCCAGGAGTCCCTCCTTGCTTTTGACACAAGACACTCGAGGTTCCTTTTGTACTTTCCCTGCCCCAACCCTGAACTAGGTCAGTTCCCCAGCAGCCCTGGTTGAGCTAGTGGCGGGAGTCGGGAGCAGCCAGATCCAGGTGCTGCCTGAGTGCTCACTGCCACTGGGGTATCCCTGATTCTAGTGCCCACCAGGAGTCAGCTGGTGGGAGCAGACGTGTCCACGTGCACACACCTATATGTGCACACAGCCACATGGGTATCCTCAGGTGTCTTCCTAAGAGTGATGGAGCGTGGAGCACATTCAGTGCCAGGGGGCAATGGAAAGGCAGAGGGGCAGGGGTTTGGGGCATTGGCAGGTGGGTCCCAGACTCTGAGGGTCAGAGACTGTCCTCAGATCCCACARGGCTGGTGCCACCCATTAATTCCCGCCTCAGTCAAGGATTTAAAGTAGAAATGAGAAGAGCGAGTGAGTTAGAGGGGACACAGAGGCAGCAGCAAGGCTTCCCCAGTGAGTGAGGGGACAGTCATTTCTACAGAGACCTCTGCTGCTGTGGGACCTTCAGGCCCAGACCCTGCCCTCCTGGGTCTCTGCATGCCTGGCCCAGGGCCTTGGTCGGGGAGGTCAGACTGGGCAGCACAGGCACTGTCAAGGCTGGGCCCTGAGGCCATCCATGCATTTGGGCCCAGAACCATGGAGAAAAGCCACACGTGAAGTCACCAGCCCAGTGCTTGCCCCAGCCTTCCACCTTGGAGGTGCAGCCCCAGGGATTGCATATCATCTGTAGGCATTTGGGGTGATGTGGGACCTTCCCTGAGACTTACCCTACAACCCTGACAGAAATCCTCATTTATGGGTTTATGGATGGGGTGTGAGGGGCAAAGTTGAGCCAGGGAGGAGGCTGCCACCTGACTCTGTTGCCTTCGGATATGCACAGTCAGGCCTCTGGCCCTGGGGACAGGTGCCTTAGACCTTGGCCAAACCCACCGGGAACCCTCAGGAGCTTCCAGACTCCAGCCAGGGCCCCTCCCTGCAGATGATAAGGAGCCAGCCTTCCCCTTTGTACCTTAGAAGGTCCAAAGGGCCCAGCTTCTGTCCTCCCTGACCCACCCTCCACCTCTTTCAGCCCAGGCCTTTGTATTTTTTGGTTCACATCTGCCACCCAGCCCCCTCCACAGTGGGGCAAAAATCCTTCAGCCAGGAGCYCAAGGCTTCTCCTGATCCCTTCCCGCGACACTACCTTCTCCACAAGGATCATAGACATCGGCCTGCCAAGGGCCAGGCCAGCGGTCAGCTGCAGAGCTGAGCAGGGCCCCAGGGTGGAGGCACTGCCCAGGATCTGGCTTGGCGCCCAGCCTTCTCTCAAAACCCAGGGAGCTTGGATGTATAACTCGGATGCYCCTCCCCCATCTGCTCTTCAGCAGGAAATGGTCTAACGGGAAAGTAGGTCTTTTTAAATCTGAATTATTCAAACAATCTGTGCACGTGACTGGGACCCAAAGCAAGGCCTGGACGCACCCAGGTGCCTCTCTCCAGCCAGGCTTTGGAGACTCCCTCTCACAGCTGCAGAGTGACTCCATATCCGGATACAGTAAGAGGGCAGGAGTGGAGAGGCCACTGCCCCTTTGTCCTGCTGGGTATCTGTCCTTGTCTTGCTCAACACTCTGGTCCACCATGCGGACCTCCACATTGCCTCCAGGAGGTGAGATGGAACCTGGCCCTGCCTCCACACTGCAAGGACAGGGAGGAGCACGTGGTGCCCAGGGGATGCAGAATGTAGGTGACCAAGAGGAAAGCTTTAATTAGTTCCTGCAGGCGACCTAAGGCAGGGTCTGGTGAAGGAACAGGGCCACACTCCGGGGGAGACCACACTCCTCCCTAACCCTTGGCACTCTGCCCAAGTGCACTGGGAATGGGCAGGCCCAAGGCCCTTACYTCAAGAGTCCTGTCCAGCCGCACAGCTGTCAGCTTGCTGGAAGGGATGAGGAGGAACATAGGGAGAGCTGGGTGGGCAGCTCTGTGTGGACTGGTTAGTGAGACAGTAAGGGTGTAGACTGGAGAGACCTGGTGGTGAGTGGCCTGCAGACCAGGGGAGGATGGTGACCAGATAGGAGTGCCTGGCGAGGTCACAGGTATGCCTTCAGGAGGATGCTATGCAGCAGAGCTAGGGCGGGGCCTGAGGGAGGAGGCCAGTGCTGCCTGTGGGCCCCAGCAGACCTTGAAGGATCCCTGAAGTCCTTCCCACAAGTACAGGGAGCCAGCGTCTGTCCCCAGCTTCCCATCCCACTGGCTCCTGACCCTCCTGGTCTCCCACCTCAGTCATAGACAGCAGGAAGACAGCAGGAAATCGTGCAGTGCCAGGTGGGGCCGAGGGCATGTTTCTCCCCCCCCCCCCCAGAGTCGGACCAGAAGCCTAGGGAAAGTTCAGGCAGCTCCTGGAGGCTGACGGTGTTGCCCAGCCGAGCCGGGACTAGGACTCAGGTGTGCAGCTCAGACCTGGCCAGAGGGKGCTGCCTCTAGGAGCCAGGTGAGAGGATCTGCTCTCCTCTCTGGGCTTCCTGTAGTGGGCATGCCCCCTGGAACTGCATGTGGGGAGATACCCAAGTCCTGACTCCACCCGGTGTCACCCTCATTCCTGGTGTAAAACACAGAACTTTCTAATGGAGAAAGAGGTATCCATGAGCAGGCAAAGCAGAATCCCTGCATGAAACACAGGAGTCAGGTAGCAAGTGGTAGAAGCTTAAACCAGCTTGTGTGGAAATGGGAAATTGAGTGGCAGATATCTGGGCATCCGGTTTAGCCGGATCCAGGCCCTTAGTGAGGAGTTAGGGCTCTGTGGCCCACCCTGTTTTTGCTTTCCTGGGTGGTAGCTCCTTCTCTGCTTGGCAAGGAAATGGCTGCCAGCCTCAGGCACCCTCACCCCTGGAAGAGCACCAGGGAAGACTCCGATGTCTGTAGGCTAACCCCATAAGGACCCCAGACAGCCTCCCTCAGGTTCCTGGGGCCCTGGTGGCAGGGAAGGGAGGGGCCGTAACTAAGGGCTCTTTTGGGTCAATGTGCAACACCCAGCACAAAGGCAGGAGGTGGGAGATTGCTGGATGGCAGAAGCAGCAGCCCAGGTGGTCCCCGCCTGCTTGGGGGCTAAAACCTGGGTTTGGCTCCAGCTGAASTGCTTCGCTGGTTGTTGGCTTTTTAGCTGAGGTTAGTTTGACTAACACCTGCAGGTCTGACTGCCCTCTCTTGGAGCCCTGGGCCTGACTACAGGGGTGAGGCATGACCTTGACAAGGTCAGCCAAGGCATCTCCGAGACACTGGCTTCTCAAAGTGTCCACCTAGCTGCAGAGACAAGGGACAGCTGGGAGAACACAGCTCAGGGCCTCTCCTCCTCACTGAGGCCAGGAACCCCCTGGCCTGAGGGGATACTGGGGTGAAGCCCTGGGGTGCAGCAGGCCCAAGTCTTCCYTCCCCAGGCATCCTCGGGGGCATCTTCTGGGGTAGGGGTACTATGGACCCAAACATAGATAAAAGGGCAGGGTGGCCACAGCAGGCATCAGGGACACAAGTGGACAGGGATGCAGGGACATACACCTCTGCCCACAGGAGGAAGCCAGGTGGGTGGGCATCAGGGTGTGTAAAAGGGACGGCCCAGAGGTAGCCACCTAGCTAGGCCTTGGGGCTCTGAGCCCTTGGGACAATTTCTGGGCCCCCAACCTCCTCCTCCCCTACCTCCTGTCACCTGCAGACGCTGGTGTGCTCAGAGAGGGGCCCCTGGGGCAGGTGAGYGGGGACATACACACCCTGGGTGACCAGTGCAGGGGACCCGGGCTTCCTACCCACACCCCAGAGCCCTAAGCCTGGAGCAGGTCACACAGTGACTCCAGGAGCAGGGACAAAGGCAGGCATGGTCTCCAGGGTCAGAACACGGCACCCAGGAGCCAGCGGGCCGGCTCTCGGGGCTGCTGGACCGCTGTAGCCTGGGCTCTGTTGGCCTCCCCGGCCAGCGCCTTCTTCGGGAAGGGAGCTCCAGCTGGTGTGGGGATTCGCCCCCTGGGAT